AAACAAACTTTTTAGGTGCATTAAAAGTGAAGATAATGGAGTTAATTTCGCAGGGATATCGTTTTCGATTGGTAAGTTGGTATATCAGCTTTTTGTTTTTAAAGAATGATTGTTCATTTGCCTAAAAGAAAGAAAAAGCTCAGCTTTTGTCTTTGTCTCCTCTTTCTCTAGTATCAAACATGGTAATCACATTGTTTTACTTTGAAACTCTCACAGGCAAAGGCCCCGTCCTGCTGGCTATGAGGTGGATTCCTTTTGGTGCCTGGTGTATCATTTGGTATGGCATCATGCCCTTCAATAGGGTTCTTTTGTGCCCTCTATCCATCATTTTCACTAAAGGCTATCAATAGGGTTCATCATCCATGTACCTTTAGGCTTTAGCTATGGCAAAACCCATCATTTGATCATGTTTAAGGTCAACCCTATTTGTTTTTGCTTGATGCTAAATCATTTGGGTAGGTGATGAGTGTTCAGAATCGTCAATATTTGCTCGTTATTTTTTTAGTTTTGTGGAATTATTGTTGATAAATTGGTCGTGTTATGTTTGTTTTCGTGCATGTCCTTACTTTCCAGAATTAGTGACAAAACGGGCGTATTTTGCATTTTTTTATTATTTGGTCACAGCTAAGACATGGCACGACTATGGGCACAACGCGGTCTGACGTGGCGGTTTCTAGAAGGTACAGTCAGCGACGGTTTCTAGAAGACTTCCTCCGCACGCCTTCTGAAAGATTGACGAGCATAGTTGCATTAGGAAACTAGTTTAAGTTTAAGTTTAAATTTAAATTAAAAAATAATTATCTTTAGGATTATTTTATTTATTTTCTTTATTTATCCTTTAGGCTTTGAGAAGCTATAATTACCCACTTGGGATAAGCCTAAACTCATCACTCAAATTACAATCTTCTTTTCTCTCTAGTTTTTATTAAAGCTTTCTCTTTTTACTTTTCAAGTTCTTCATTTTTCTTTTATTTTCAAGTTTTCTTTTTAATATGCTAAGTATGGCTTTTGTCATGTTTAGCTAAATTTTTCATAAGCCGAGAGCTGACGCGATGACTCAATTCCAACGGGAGAGTTGAAACATGCCCTTAATATCTTCGGAATATCTCTCTCAATCTCTGGCTTATTTTCAAATCAAAACAGTTTTCAAATTCAAATATTGACTTTGGTCAAGAGGTTGTTGCGATTAAATGTGTAGGAGGAAGATTCGACTTATAGAAAGCAAATTCAACTTCCTGGGAACACACTTGGCGAGATGGCTTCGCCAAGAGGGGATTGAGATCGGAATTGACGGTTATTGAAGCAACAATCCGAGTCAGTTGCCATGAACTTAAACGGTAATTGATCTACGACAATTGATGTCGATTAAATCAATTTCGAAGCCGGAATCAAAGATTGCCTTGGGTATTCGATATACAAGATAGAGTCACGGGGATAGCCCTTGTAGACAAAGTAACCGACGTGAATCCCGGAGGGAAAATCTTATTCGATGATCTAAAGGAAATTGAGTCAAAGCGAAGCTTGAGGTTATTTTTACCGTATTCACAATCTTTATCCTCTTATTTTTACTTTAATTGCTTTTATTTATTTAATCATTTTTACTATTTAAATCTCATATTACAAACTCATTTTTACTATTTTCGCCTAGTTAGAACCATTCAAACATAAAATTGTGATTTTCTAAGTCCCTGAGGATTCGACCCTTATTTCTCTATACTAATGTACATATTTGCATTCGGCATTCAACAACATCTGAAAATACTCCGGAGGTAAATTATGATCCTATTTGCATTCAACTATTACTAATGTACAATCCGGTTTATGGTTTATAGAGGATTTCAAAGCCAATTTTCCACCGACGACACAACATGACCATGGTTCTAGTTCACGGCATCAAACAAGAGCCGCCCACTTCTTCGTCTCCCACCATGGCCGTGGCCGATAGCAAAATCTGGGGAGTACTCTATTCATTCTCTTGCACTTTAATTTTACGTTTTGAGGCAAAACGCTTTAAGCGAGGGGGAGTAGAGTGTAAGTTGAATTTCTTTGTCTTGTTGAATATTTTTGGAATAATATGCTTGTTTGGGAACACATGATTGTTTAGGTTAGGATGTTTTTGATAGCGAATAACATGAATTGTGATAAGTTGGTGTTTTTGTGATATTCTATGACTTTGTTGGTTGAAATGTGATTAGCTAAATGCATATAATTTGGTGAGATTTGAGCCTTTACGAGCATATCATTTTCGCTCTCATTTTGTTGGATTGAGTGTGTCGAATTTGGCATTGGTATTCTAGAACCCGCATGTTAAATACTGTTAAGATTACACATGAACTTGATGCTTAAAAATGATTTGGACACCTTAGGATTAACTATTCTGTTTCCCCAATAAATTGTCTGCCCATGCATTTTCCCCCTAATTAACCACTTTTGAGCCTATTCACGCTTTTTTGTTTTCATCACGTTTATAAACCCAAGCCTTTATTTATCCTTCTTTTCTACCTATTTCAGGGCAAGTGAATAGTTAATCCATTGTATGCTCCATTGAAAAAAAGAAAAAAAAGTAGTTTGAAAAAGAGAAAAAAAGAAGAAAAAAATGTTGTTCGAAAAAAAAGAAAAGAAAAAAGACATGAAAAAAATGAAAAACAAAACAACAAAAGTGTGAAAAAAATCAAATGCATTTCGAAAAGAATTTTGTTGTTCGAAAATTTGTCTTTTTATTTTGTTGTGTTTAATGTTTTGATAGAGTTGAAATTATTATTTGTTAGTTCCTTGCCTTGAATATTTAGCCGTATATTTAGCCTTTTCCTCACCTTTACCTAAGTCCCGTTACAACCAATAAAAGACCATTTGATTTATGCATCTTGTTCTTATTAGTAGTGGAGATTTGATTTACATGTAGGCCTATGGCAATATCGTGTCAATTCTGACATTGAGCGTTTCTTTACCCCAAACACATTGAGTGATTTGAGTGAATCCCGGTAAGGAGTTGAGTAATGAGCGTTAAGATTGATGAATGAATGAATATTACAATTGCACTTAACTTGTTCCAATTTGATATTCAATTGATTGTTTTCTTGACTTGAATTGTTATTGTGGTCTCTACCTTGCTTCCTCGAACGTGAAACTTGACAAAGAACGGTAAATGAAACTTTTGACTAATTTGATTAATCATACTTGAGGACAAGCATGAGATAAGTGAGGGGAATTGATGATGAATCGTCAATCTTTGCTCGTTATTTCTTCGGTTTTGTGGAATTATTGCTGCTAAATTGGTCGTGCTATGTTTGTTTTCGTACAGGTCCTTACTTTCCAGAATTAGTGACAAAACGGGCACATTTTGCATTTTTTTTATTATTTGGTCAATGCTGGAAACATGGGCACGACTCTGGGCACGACGCGGTATGACGTGGCGATTTCTAGAAGGTCCAATCAGCGACAGTTTCTAGAAGACTTCGTCCGCACGCCTTCTGGAAGATTGATGAGCAGAGTTGCATTAGGAGACTAATTTAAGTTTGAATTTAAATTAAAAATAATTATCTTTAGGATTATTTATTTATTTTCTTTGTTTATCCTTTAGGCTTTGAGAGATTATAAATATCTACTTGGGGTAAGCCTAAACTCATCACTCAAATTACAATCTTCTTTTTTCTCTAGTTTTTATTAAAGCTTTCTCTTTTTACTTTTCAAGTTCTTCATTTTCTTTTATTTCAAGTTTTGTTTTTAATATGCTAAGTATGACTTTTGTTATGTTTAGCTAAATTTTTCATAAGCCGAGAGCTGACGCGATGACTCAATTCTAACGGGATAATTGAAACAAAACCTTAATATCTTCGAAATATCTCTCTCAATATATGCGTTTATTTTTCAAAATCAAAATAGTTTTCAAAATCAAAGATTGACTTTGGTCAAGAAGTTGTTACGATTAATGTGTGGGAGGAAGATTCGGCTTATAGAAAGCAAATTCAACTTCCTGGGACGATTATTGAAGCAACAATCCGAGTCGGTCGCCATGAACTTAAACGGTAATTGATCTACGACAATTGATGTCGATTAGATCAATTTCTGAAGCCAGAATCAAAGATTGCCTTGGGTATTCGATATACAAGATAAAGTCACGGGGATAGCCCTTGTAGACAAAGTAACTGACGTGAATCCTGGAGGGAAAATTTTATTCGATGATCTAAAGGAAAGTGAGTCAAAGCAAAGCTTGAGGCTATTTTTATCGTATTTATTCACAATCTTTACCCTCTTATTTTTACTTTAATTGTTTTTATTTATTTAATCATTCTTACTATTTAAATCTCATATTATAAACCCTTTTTTATTATTTTCGTCTAGTTAGAACCATTCAAACATAAAATTGTGATTTTCTAAGTCTTTAAGGATTCGACCATTATTTATCTATACTATGTATTTCCTTATTTATTAATTGAGAAAAAAAAATTATTTGACATCCAAAACGATAGTTGTCAGTAGGCAAATGTTTATGATATAAATATATGATTAGGCTACAAAATATATGATATATGAACAAATGTTAGTTGTTTGATTAGACAAATTTGTTTGATTTTTAATCAACTCTTAATAATTTGGGGGTTAGGGTGAAAGTGTTATGTTAGATGACAAGACATGACATGACATCCATACATCATTTTATCTATATCTATGCTTTTCTTTCCTATTGTTCAACCCACTATTATGCGTTATTGCAGAGAAAAAGGCAAAGATTAGATGAATCACACGTACATGTAGGAAAGTATTAATTAATTTATTAACCTTTGATAGTTAATGGTCCAAAGTAAAAGATTAGAATATATAATCCTCATTATGGGACATGATGATGGCTTTTTGCTGATGTTTCCCTCCTTTGATTGAATAAAGAAATCATCATCATCATCAATCATGGCACAATCTAAGCAAATCATTTTACAGATACTTACGGACCGTATCATAAATTTTTCGAATCGGATCAACCCGTATTATCTTTAATAAAGGAAATAAGACAGAGAAAGTGAAGACAAACAAACGTTCCAAATTGTACATACAGAGGGAATAACAAAAAAGCATTCAAAGAAGCTATCAATGAAAGAAAAAGACAAAGCAAAATCTACTGTCCTCCAATGGCAATGGAAACAAATGGAACCCATCATCAACAAGTTGAAAAATGTATTAGTCTCATAGTGCACCATTGGAAATTGGTGCTCCCATTTTGATGCTGTCCATATGTGTTGTTTCATACACAGGTAAACCACTTGAGTAGATTCCTAGATCATAGTTCTGTAACTCGAACAGATCAGAGCTCGAATCGCTATCTGCACCGTCATCGACCTCACCGGACTTCCTGTAATCTTTCTCCACTGGTCGATATCGATCGGCTTGATCTCTAGTCTGTTGTTTTTCCCTGTAGTCATCGATTAACTTGAGTTTCTCATCTAACCAAGAATAGTCCGTTGTATCATTTTGTAAACCAGTTGATTTTTTTTGTCCGGTGTTGTTCTTTGAAATAGATGATGCTACCTGCTGTTTATGATCTAGATAGCTTTTAAAGTCCTTGTAGCTTTTGGCGGGTGTGTGCACGTAAGGCGGAGGTGTCCTGAAACCCGAATTCGAAGACGAGTAAATCGACTTCGTATCCACCGTGCTCGAGCTACGGAAATGGCTAATGCTGATCCGTCTTTTCCTTCTTCCACCGGGACTCTCTTCTTCATCTTTCATGGACTGCGTAGTCGATTTCGATTTCTTCTTTTTCGAGCCCGTTTGGTTGAAAAGCGAGTTCAAGAAGCTAGCGAGTTTACCACCAGGGGAGCTCGGTTGCTTGTGTTTCTTCTCCTTTATCTGTTTCTCCACCACATGAGCTGGTTGAACAATGGGATGATGTCTCATTGGCACATCCAAGCTGACCCTACCTCCCCTCCAAGGCTGCTGCTGCCTCTCGTCCCTCATGATCCTCTGACTGTACGTCGCGCAATTGTAGTAGCCGCTACCTGCATCATTGTACCCCGAGAAATACCGTGCAGCCTCGAACACGTCGAGCTCACCGGAGTCGTTCCTACGGTGGAATGACCTGTTGAGCATTCTATCAGGGTCTGAATATCCTGCAACAGACATGGTTGATGCCAAAGTGATAAGGAATGGTGTGAGATTGTATAAGGAGGGAACTTATTTGAAATGATTGAGAGTAATGGAAAGGGTAGGCTTTATAATACTAATGATAATCAATTCACTGTCTATGTCTAATTATATAATATGATGAAGGGTGTTCTTTAACTTGACCCCATTTTTTATATCCGAATATCTTAATCGAATAATAAAAAATTAATATTTTTTAAATAATGTTTCAAGTTTAAATCTTATAAATATGGTAGAACCCACATTTTTATTGTTAGTGCTTGTAAGCCACTCTTTCATAAACTGATTCTTTGATTATGAAGGCACTAATTAATTGCTTGCTAAGTTACCCATTGATTGATATGTAAAAATAAATTAACTTTGGTCCAAATGATATCTGTCTGTCCCCTCTTTGGGGAAGCCCTGGGGTTTACATCTTTTGCTTTTGGCAGGGCCTGGGAATCAATGGTTACTCTTTGGCATCATTTTTAATTTTACTTTTGTAATTAATGATTTAACGGTGACTGAAATTATTATTTTTTAAATAACGATGACTCTAATAAAATTCTTTTAATTTCGATGATCAAAATATGAAGATATGATAATTAAATTCTGACCTTACGAGCCATCAAATTAGAGGAGGAATGTTGATGCATCAAATCTAACTTACCAAATTAGCCAACTAACAAGCCTCATGGGTAGACACAAGCTTTTCCCTTTGGTCAATGTATTTTTTCTCTTCTCATTCATTTTAGACGTACTCTCTTTGATATTTATGTCCCACCTAAAGAAAATATTAGACTTGTCATGAGTCGAGTTCATTATACATATACATTTGGTTCAAACTAATGAATATTTGACGCAGTGTACGCACCAACTTTATCCTCTTTTGAGGTGTTGGGTGGTTCAATACTCATTTGTACATATTCGGTTTCATATCTAAACAAAATCCCCAGCTCCTCATGTCATGGGCAATGGGTGCATGCAGCATGTGCATGTGGTTTGAGTTTGATGATGATGACAGTGGTGTTTTCATGATGTTGCTTGTAGCTTTTTTTCCTTTCTTTTGAGAACCACCTTTGAACTTGATGGATCAACTCAGAGAAGATCCAGCAAGTGGGTAGTTCGAGTTCGATGATGATGACAGTTGAGTCGGCAACTTAAGGCAGTGAACTTAAATATGGTGGTCTTAAACTATGAAGTCCCGTCTGCGTCACTTATCAGATCGGTTCGCGATCGATCTCGGATGATAAAACGAGCCAGGGAACGAAAACCATCTCATCGATGTATAGTTTTCTTAGGCAAGGTTTGGACAAAATAATTCCAGAGCCACAAACCAGAACCAGGTAATATAAATCAAGTGCCTGATATCTCAGGTTCAGTAAGGCCCTACAACAAATATGTGAATCTCATTGGCCTTTGCTTGTTTGGTTATAAGATTACATATCACCATCGTCACCAAAATGGCAGCGGCAGTCAATGATGGATGGAGGTCCTCTTGAAAATTTCAAATTCTTATATATTTTATTTATTTTTTATATTTTTTATTAATAATACATTTTTATTTTTAAAATTTCGTAAATTTACATCCCAATATAAAATAATTTGTCCAAAAGGTAGGATGCATTATACAAATTCCAATAGATGATCTAGTTGAAAACCTTGTCGTGAACTAAATTGTTGGGTAGCAGCTAGCTAGCTAAGTGTCTTCATCCCCCTAGTCTATATGTATATATAGGGGTGGTGACTACCCAATATTTAATAATGATGATATTTCTGGAGATGGACTCGTTATGTTTAGATATGTTGGGTTGCTTTCTTCTTTTATGCACCATGTATTCCTATGGCCATGGTTTCTCTGTGTCCTGTCCATCTACTTTCCTATGTTTTTGGTTGTTTAATCCTTTGCTGCTGTTCGTACGGTTTCGATTCTAAACTGATAATATGTAATCAAATTTCAATTTTTTTAATTTAATTCTATGCATCATGATAATAATCATACAATTTTATGTCTATTTTTCACTATCAAAATATGAAATAATTAGTGTGAACTTATTTAAAATATAAAATTCTTTGTCCAAACCTTGCTCATGCATAGTTTCAAATCTTAATTTTATGAACTAAGTAAATTGGGTTGAGAGTAGGGATAGACATAAGACTCAAATTCAATAGGTTTTAATCTGATTAGACCTTATAGATTTAGATTTAAAAAAATCGGACTCAGGTTGAGTTTTTTGGAAGACAAGGTGAAAAATCCTCAACCCAACCCGAGAAAATAATATAAATATCTCTTATGTATTTAGAGATAATTACAATAACATCCCATCTCTCTATATTTTTAATTAGGTCTTTATTATACCTAGTAAAAATAGTATATATATGTCAATATGTGTGTTTGAGTAAAATCGGGTGCAGGTTTTCATCTTAAAATTTGTGTTAAGTTTTGGGTCAGGAGGAATCTCTCTAAACACTGATCGGATTGGGTGACAAGTGGAGGTGTAGAATGCTCGAGTCAGACAAAAATTTAATTTGACCTGATCCATGCCCATCCTTAATTGAGAGGGTCGCTCCCCTTATAGATTTTTGTAATATCCGATCTGAATTAATCAATTAACATGTACTCAATCCAAATTAATCAATTAACATAAACATATAGAAGATTAAACAAAAAAAACAAAAATAATATTTGCACAAAACATAGAATTAACAACCTTGTATACCCTCTCATTTGAGCAAAAAAGGACAATAGTCCATTTTGCTAAAGTATTTATAAGGACATTAATCTAAAATCAGTGTTTATACAAACTAATCCATCAAAGGTCATGGTATTAGGGAGTAAAGGCCCAAGGGAAGTCCCCACAAAGACCAAACACTGGTATTGTGTCTTTTAATTATGCAAGAAAGGTATCGATAAATTAATAGATAAATATCGAATGTTGTGATAAAATATATTAAATTTAAATGTTAAAAATATATTATTAGAAGAGACATATCGAGAAATATGACCCTAAATTCATTGTCCCCTAATCCAAGCATATATTTGTAGTGGCCATGTATGAGTCAATTTGCTGGCATGCAATGTCTCCTGTAGTGGCCATGAATTGATTTTATTTTGGAATTATCCAATGGATAGCCTTTTGAGGGGGGGGGGGGACATTATGATGAGTTAAGATAAGAAGGGAATTTTGGATATGTAGATTGCATGGGAATTAGCTTCGCTATAGTTTTAATCAAACGTGGCGATTCTAAGTACTCGGTTGTTTCATTGAAAATGTATTTTTTTTATTAAAGATTATTATAGATTTATTAAAAAATTAAAATAAGAGTGTATAGGCCTTTAACGATTCCTTTATTTTTTGGTGGATATAATTAGGGAGGATTGTGGGATGAATTTTGTCCATTATAATTTTAATATAAAAATTATTTTTTTTTGCTTGACTTTGATTTATCTTGATATTTGATGATGTTTTATCCACTTTGGTTTATACAGTGAGTCCATTTATAGGTTTACAATAGTTCTAGAATATATAACAGTTGTCCATATGACGTTATAACAACCTGCCAGTACCTGTAACAAACTTTCCTTGTATGCAAAGCTCTCATATTGGCTCATCATTCTCCCTACTCCTCTGATCCTTCATTATCCATAACACGAACTCTTTGTCGAAAATCTGCAAAGGATCATTTAGTCAATGGTTTGGTTAATCCATCAGCAACCTGATGACCAGTGGGTACGTAATTAACATACAGTTCTTTTCCCATCACCTTCTCACAAACAAAGCACATATCCAGCTCGACATGCTTCATTTTTGCCTGAAACACAGGGTTGACACTTATTGCAATTGAGCTTGTGTTGTCGCACCATACTACTGTAATTGCACTTGTTTTCCCCCATGTAAGTGAGCAATGTCTTAACCTAAACGACTTCAGAAACCACATCTGCAACACTGCGAAACTCGACCTCGGTGGTTGATCTAGTGATTGTCCTTTACTTATTGGAACTCTATGAGATTAGGTTGATGCCAAGAAAAATGCAAGAACCAGAAACTGATCGGCGATCATCAACATTGCTTGTCCAGTCAGCGTCAACAAAGGCAATCACGCCAAGAAAAATCCAAGAACCATAAACTGATCGGCGGTCATCAACATTGCTTGCCCAGTCAGCGTCAACAAAGGCAATCACCTTACTCGATGGAGAACCTGCCTGGAAAACAAGGCCATGATGAAGTGTGCCACGTAAATACCGTAAAATCCTCTTTACCGCTATCCAATGACCTTCACATAGAGCATGCATGTATTGGGCAACTCTATGAACACTAAATGTTATATCCGGACGAGTGTGTGTGAGATAGAGCAAGGCACTAATGATACGTCGAAAAAACTGAGGGTCATCAAGCATTTTACCAGACTCACATGTGAGCTTGGGAAAGATTATCATCGGTGTTGGAGCTGGTTTTGCTTTAGCCATTGTAGTTTTTGCTAACAAATCTTTAATGAATTTTCTTTGGCGAAGCATTAGATTATCATGAGTTCTAGCAACTTTAATTCCCAAGAAAAATCATAAGTCATCGAGATCTTTTAGAGAAAACTGATCACCAAGACAATGAATAACTTTTTCAACCATAGTCTTGGAGTCATCGGTGACGATAATATCATCAACATAGATTAGTAAGAATATACGGGTGCCTCCAGAGTGTCAGATAAACAAAGAGGTATTAGTAGCAGATTCCTTAAACCCCTGCTGCATAATATATTGTTTTAATCTTGTGTACCACATCCTCGGGGCTTGCTTTAAGAAATACAAAGCTTTTGTTAGCTTGCACACTAATGGTTTACCATCAAGAGATTGTTGTTCAAAACCGGAAGGTTGAAGCATAAATACTTCCTCACTCTATTCTCCGTTGAGGAAGGCGTTGTTAACGTCAACTTGACGCAACACCCACTTATTTGAAACAACTATGGAGAGCACAACGTTTACCATAGACGACCTTACAACATGACTAAATGTATCTCCAAAATCATGCCCAGGGACCTGCGAGAAT